TAGGGAAATAGATAAATTTTAGTCTATATATGAAGTGAGATAGATAAACTTGTGTGTGCTTATATAAAATGATCTCCAAGGCATATGACTAAGTTAAAAAGGTTCAGAACATTGTGTATGTTGCTATTTAGTGACAAAAGGGATGGAGTAGATAGAATATACATTCACAGACACAAAAGTATCTGCTTGAGTGCATAGACTACTTCTGAAGAGATGTGCAAGAAATTGGTAACAGTAGTTTCCTCTGAAATGATCAGGGAAGCTCTCTGTTTGAATTATTTTACCATGTGCATTTATTATATTTTTTAATCAAAGAACTCTTAGAATGAAGTGATTTCCTCTCTTTACTATGTCTGAGACCATGCTCAGTTCATTTGTAATTTCTGTTAGACAAGAAACCTTCTGCAAGCCTTGTTTAAGCAATAAGTAAGTATAAATTTGTTTGTATAATTAGCAAGAAAATAAATCTCTTTGAATAGAACAGCAATCCTTGTTTTGTATTATTTGTTCTCCCTTTATAATTTTTAGTAATCTACAGAAATTAAGAAACTTAGAAATAAAGTCAGATTTTTCACAAAATTCTAAGTGTTATAAATGTCCACATGCCCATATGTCTGGTCACCTAACTCTGGAGTGTGGCTAAATGGAAAGAAAGTGACCTAATAATAAAAATTTTATCTATTTCATTTAGGCTCATGGATTTGAGATTCTATGCTCCAAATGTAGCCCACATTTTTCTGACTCCCAAAAATCTCCTGTGATTGCCTCACCACTTTGGGCTGGCTTCCTTGAAAGTCTGAAAAATAAAGATTACTTTAAGGTAAGACTTGCAATGCATGTTTTAAATTGTACTATCTAGGGAAAACAAGCTAGTGATTTAAAGTCCTATGGTCCATATTTAATGAGTAACATAATTATAGGAGCCAGAATTTAAAGGAACCATTCTAGTTCAGTGGTAATGAGGGGATGTCCAGTATTATGAACTGTTTCCAGTATTGGGAAAATTAATAACATTTACATAAAGTGATATAAAAGTTATTTGTATCAGATGAACAACTTTCATCAATCTATAAAGCAAACATGAAGATACCAAATAGCAAAATTAGAAAAGACAGGGATTTAGAAAATTATAAAAAGATAGTATTTCTCTTAAAATATTCACTCTCACAAGTAGTAAAGATATGCATATGAACACAATTATAGACTGTTTTTCATGTATGTAAGGATGCAAATGATATTCAGTGCTGTTGAGAGTATAGTGAAATTAATACCCTATATATTGCTGATTACATTGTAAATTGGTAGAACCTTAACTGGAAAGCAATTTAGTAGTATGTCCCAAGAGCTATAGAAGTATTCAAACTTGGAACCTTCACTTTGAATAGTCTATTTTAAGGAAATAGAAGAGTTCATAAGACTGTGATGATTATAACACTCTAACAATATGAAAAAGTACTAGTATATTTTTTATTTAAAGAGTGTAAAATATTAAGTATGAATGCCACTATAAACATGCATGTGAAAGACAGAAATGATAGTTAAGTTGGGATTATGCTATTTCTTTTGTTCTATTTGTACTTTGCTTTATAAGTTAATTACGAATCAATTATTCGTTAATTATTTAAACAATAGAAAATGGTAGAAAACATTTCAAATCGGAAATAAGCCCTTAATGGTGAAAAGGATTAGGAACCACTACATCTAACCTAGTCCCCTTGTTTGAAGAAACCAGAGCCCAAACAGGTACATTAATGACAAAACTGGGACTAGGACTCAGGCATCATGGTTCTAGAGCAGTATCATATACTGTCTCTCTGAAAATTATTTGTGAGCAGGTTATTTTAATAACACTATGTAAATAATGTTCTGATAGGCCATTATTATTTTTTTAGGGACTGATAGAAGGTTCTGCACAGTACCAGGAAAGACTAGAAATGGCAAAGAACTACTTCCAACTCTCAGTAAACCGGCCAGAAAGGTGAGTTTATCACTGCTAAATTATAACAGCAGAGTGGTAACTTGCCAGACGTTAAGGAGTTATTTTTTCTTAAAGATAGTTGCAGAAATTGGAGTTTACATATTTAAACAGCTAATGGCAAGGACCATGACTACTAAAGGGGCTGGGATTGAAGGAGAGGTGTTGTGACGGAAGATCTCTGGCACTGGTAGCTATCCTTATCATCATATAACGGCCAACATTTATTGCGTACTTACAAAGTGTCGGTCACTTTAAACTTTTAATCCCCCTTACAGCCCTGTGAAATAAATACGATTGTTATTGTTCCATAATTACAGTTAAAAAGCTGAGGCCAAGAGATGTTAAGTAATTTGCCAGAGGTCACACAGCTCATAAATGACAGACCTAGGATTCAAACTCAGGTAGTCTGGTATTGAGCCATGTGCTTAATTCCTATAGGAATTCTGAGCTGTGTTTAGCTATGTTATGTGGGTCTGAAACACAGAATGAAGCAGGCATTCAGCTTCCAAATCGAATCTCATTCTAACCTCCTATATATTTCCTGGTGGAAGAAAGAAATGGACACAGGGTTGGAATGAAATGGTACCCCTTAAAATTTAATAAAGTTGAGTTTCAGTTCTGATAATGGTGGAGTAACATATCCGATGAACCCCCTCCCAGTTACAATTATAAACCTGAACAGAATTTTAAAAACAATTATTTGAAGATGCTGGAGAACAACAACAGCAGGCAAAAATTGGAGAGAATTGTACTCTTGGAAGAAAATCACAGTTGGTGAGGTCCACATTTATCTGATTTGTCCACTGAGGGCACTTCCTATTCAGTGTGGCACAAGGAAAATACAGCTCAGACACAAAGTCTTATTGGGCTGAGGAATCAAAGGTCAGAATTTGAGTAGTGGCAAAAGTTTAACTTCTGTTTACAAAATTGAATTTGTGGTACTTAAAGCTATTAAATAACATGAAAGAAATAGCTTCGTGTGTGTTATGGTTAAGTCAAACTGATTGGTTTTGAACCCCAGGCATTTTGTCAGCATTTCAAACACAAAATATTTGTGTAATAGAATATTCTTTGAAGATAGCATGAAGCAAAGTTGATACTGAGAGAACTCTAATCTCAATTTTCTGTGAGATGGTAATGACTTTACAGCAGTCCTTCCTCTTCTGTAAATGTGTAGGGGCACCTTTGCCCCATTCGCATCAGTTTTAGGGCAATAATTGGTGGAAAAGAGAATGCCTTCTTAGGGTATCATTTAAGAAAACTTAGGAAATAGAGTAGGAGAGTAAAGGAGGTAGCCTTCATAGTTAGGGGACTCTCCCCCGGATGATTCCTCTCTGCCTCTAGGAGGCCACTCCTGTGTTGAGAGCTGTTACCTTACAGTCTTGAAGAGAAGTTAAGAAATTCTATTCACATTTGGAGAATTAGGGCTCCTCTCAGAAAACATAATAGATTAGTGGTTGGGTAGTTCTTTTTAAATAATAAAGTTTGTCATTATAAAATTAACATTGATTTATTATAGCAAATACAAAAAGATGTAAGGAAAAAATTTATGCATAGAGTCAACTGCTATTATCATTTTGATCTGCTGCCTTCCAGGATTTTTTTTCCACCATACCCAGTTAATATTTTTTAAAATTTTATACTGTATAGAAATTTTGTGTCATGTACATAATTTTTATTCATTACAAACTTATATTTTCCCATGACATTAAAAAGTCTTTATAAACATAATTTTAAATAGCTGCATAACATTTCAGCAAATGGATGTACCATAATTTACTCAACATTTTTACTACTGGCAAAAAATCGTGAATAGCTTAAATGTCCAACGTTTTAATTAGTGTTGCAGGAGAGACTTTCATTCCCCAAACTAGGATAATTTTTAAACAGTTTAAAACCAAACTCACATCTCCCTCCAGACCTATCCTTAAATTCCCATTTTTTTGAATAGCCGAGTTAATATCACAGACTATTTTCCAATCTCTTTTAATAGTACCACTATCCTCCTTTTCACCCAGACCTCCTGGCTCTCCTTGGCTCTAGTTCCTAGATCCTGTTAATTATTTTTTGTGTCTTGCATTCTTTTTTCTTACTACCCAGCTACTCTAATTACTTATTTCATTGCTTTTCTTTTTCTTTTTTTTTTTTTTTAGGTGAGGTGACCCTTGGTTGACCTCACAGATTGGAAGGATGTTGTCAGCTTACAATCCCTTATTTTTTATTTTTTACACCTACAGCACCTGGTCTTCCTAGGTGATCTCCTAGGAATCCAAATACTAATAAGGCCTGACCCTGCTTAGCTTCCAAGATCAGACGAGATTGGGCTTGTTCAGGGTGGCATGGCCGTAGACCTTATTTCTTGAACTATAGCAATACTTACTTGTTTCTCGACCTCTAGTGACTTTTCTCTCCCAATTCAACTGTTATAGCCAGGAGAATTTGCTTGAAATAAATCTTTAATCAAATCACTCGTTTTTCCTAAAAATTATTTGAGATTATGATAGTGAAAAATTACACACAATCTAGGTATCCATCAGTAGTACATATGTGAATTACAATGTATGTATATGACAGACTGCTATCCATTAGTTAACTAGAGGTTAGCTAAATATATATAAATTTAATTCAGGATTTACCAACCTCGGTGCTATTGACATTTTGGACCAGATAATTCTTTGTTGTGGGTCACTGTGCATTGAGGATGTTTAGCAACATCCCTGGCCTCTGTCCTGTAAATAACCAGTAGTACTCCCCCCACCCCCAGTTCTGACAACCAAAAGTGTCACCAGACATTGCCAAATGCCCTTGGGGGACAAAAATTGTTCCCAGTTGAGAAACATATATATTCATTCATTCAACAGATATTTATTGAATATCTCCTATGTGCCAGGCCCTATTCCAGATACTGGCATCCAAGTTGACCCAATATCTCCCTGTCCTTACAGAGCTTATGTAATAGTATAGGAAAAAGACAATAAACCATTATATGATGTTAGGTAGTGGTAAGTGCTTTGAAGAAAAAGCAGTCTGTAGGAGAGAGAGAGGTAGAGGTTGCTATTTTCGCTAGGTTGGTCAGTGTGGCCTTTCCAATGAGAAGAGATCTGGATAAAGTGAGAGAATGAGGCATACAGGTATTTGTGGGAATAACATTCTAAGTAAAGAGAATAAACAGCAATACAACATAGAAACACACACACATGTGTATGTGCACACTCGTGCCCAGCATTCACCTCTGAGCAGCAGGGCTGGTAGTGCTGGTCATCATGAGAAACATTAACTTTATCTATAATACATTTTAAAAGTACATGCACATGTTACTGGTTTTAATTTTTTATATATATTTTTCTGGCTTTATTGAAATGAAATAGACAGTTGCTCGTATTTACATTGTACAATTCAATGAGATTTTTTTCAGTTATTGTTGGCATACAATGAAATATTTGTTTTGGTTGTACAGCGTACTGATTAGAGATCTATATAACTCACAAAGCAATCACCCCACTCAATCTACTACCCCTCTTCTACCTTACATAATTATTACAACATTGTAGACTAATTTCCTTATGCTACATTTTATATCTCCATGTCTGTTTTGTAACTATTCATTTGTGCTTCTTAATCCCTTCTTCCTTTTTTGCCATCCTCCAACCCCCCTCCCATCTAGTAGCCCTCAAAATAGTCTCTATTTTTTTATTTCCATTTTTATTTCCATTTTTGTTGTTGTTTCTTTTGTTCTTTAAAATCAATATGTATGCGAAATCATGTGGTATTTGTCTTTTTTTATCTTACTTATTTCATTCAGCACAATATCCTGTAGGTCCATCAAGGCAATATTTTCCCATTCCCTTCCTTTTAGTCTATGTCTTTCAATCTGAATTGAGTCTTTTTTAGGCAGCATATGTAGGGGTCTTGTTTTCTTATCTATTCAGCCACTCTATCTTTCGGTTAGAGCACTTCACTCTTTTTCATTTGAGGTACTTCTTGATAAATACATAGTTATTAACATTCTTTATTCCTGTTTTTGATAGGTATTTTTTCTTCTTAAAGAAGTCACTCCAACATTTCCTGTAATACTGGCTTGGTGGTGATAAATTCCTTTAGCTTGTTTTTGTCTGGGAAGCTCTTTATCTGTCCTTTGACTCTAAATGATAACTTTGCTGGATAAACTATTCTGTAGATCCTGGGTTTTCAACACTTTGAATATTTTGTGCCAGGCCCTTCTATCCTGCAAAGATTCTTTTGAGAAATCAGCTGCCATACTTATGAGAGCTCCCTTGTAGGTAACTAATTGCTTATCTCTTGCTGCTTTTAAGATTATCTCCTTGTATTTAATCTTTGGCATTTTAATTATAATGTGTCTTGGTGTGGGCCTTTTTGGGTTCATCTTTTTTGGGATCTCTGAGCTTCCTAGAGTTGTATGTCTATTTCCTTCACCACCCTATGACATGGATATTTTTACATTTAATTGTGTCCCATAAGCTCCTTAAATTATTATTATAGTCTTGGCTTCTTTTTTCTTGCCGTTCTGATTGAGTGTTCTTGGCTTCTTCATCCTCTATATTGGTGGTTTGATCCTCTTCTTTATCCACTGTTTATTCCCTCTAATATACTCTTAGTCTCAGATAATGTGTTCTTCATTTCTGCATGGTTTGCTTTTATAATTTCCATTTCTGTTTTCATGACTTTTTTTCTCTCTGTTAAAGTTCTCACTGAATTCATCTACATTTCTCCTAAGTTCATTGTGCATCTTTATTTTTTTAATTTTTATTAACTAATTATTTTTTAATTGAAGAAATGATTTAAATGTTTTTCCCCCTTCCACCTTCCCCCTCTCCCCCCTGCCCTCTGGTAACCACTAGTCCATTGTCCATGTCCATGTCCATGAGTCTTTGTTTGTCCTGTTTATTTGTTGCTTTTAGGTTTATAGCCCACATATAAGTGATATCATGTAATTTCAACTTTTTCTGTCTGCCTTATTTTGCTTAGTATGATTATTTCAA